CCTTTAACAACTACCTTACTAACTATTAATCAGCAGCAAATTAGGAGTTTGAGGCTAAAGTCGTAGTTAATGGTTTGTTAATAGCGAGAATTGGACCTTAAAATGAAGTGTGACCAAATATTATTTAGATTCATTATTTATTCTCCTTCAACTCATTTGAAACCTGCATGCTGTTGTTTTTTCTTTTTTTTTATATCTTTTTTTTTTCTTTTTTTTTCGACAGAACTCCAAAGGAAAGATTTTGATTAATCTTAATTTTTTTCTGTCTCAGAGATGAAAGTCAAAGTCAAGTTTGGAATGACATGAGGGCAATTAAATAATGTCAGAATTTACATCGTTGGGTTAACTAAATGTTTTTTTTTATTTATTATTAATGAAGGAATATTAACAGTATAGTTAATATTTCTGTGGAAATATCCTTTGCTGCCTGAGTGTATATGAAATATACCGATTACCGATTATTAGAAGCATGTAAAGAACCACACATCTTCATCTACATTCTCTTAATCTCATTTCTCTTTTTCTACGTGCTGCTGTGACAGATGAAGACACGATCACTGAACAACTGTGCAAAACATGTAAGTATTTCAACTCGTATAGCAAGAGTTTAACTAATTTAATTTGTATTATTAAGACACAACATTATTGTAAACTGTTATCAATATTATAAAACGGATAGTTCCGGTAAATTGATGCTGAAATACAGGGAGATGATCAGATCCTGTGGACGTTTGGACCTCAAGAGACTCTCATAGCTGAAATCAAAAGCGAAACCAGAGAGATCACTACCTTTGATGGTACTGATGGGAGATTCAGAGACAAACTGAAACTAGACAAGACTGCATCACTGACCATCACAAACATCACAGCTGAACACAATGGAGTCTATAAACTACAGACCAGCAGCAGCAGCAGAGGAACCTCGTTCCAAAGATTCATTGTAATTGTCAGACGTAAGAATCTTAATTTATTTTCAGTATAATGATCACATTTCTTTATCGGCAGTTATTTCAGACATTAAGCTTGATAAACTACCATAAAATTGGCAGAAAATTATGGAAACTATTATAACACCGTTTATTAGTAAACAGTAGTAACCATTTAGAGATTGATATTTTTACCAGCATAATCAGTGTTTTGTGGACGTAGTCAATGTGATGCTTTAAAAGTAAATTGTTTCTAAAAAGCCAAACCCATGTTGATTACTGTGTTATGGTACAGATACTGTCACTTTAGCAAACTCTTTTCGGTTTGAGGTTCATTTGTTTTTGCTTGAAGCTACTACAGCACCTTCCATTGCGTTTAGTAGTAGCTGATTTTCTTTCCTTTATTTACAGATGTTACATAAACATGCACAGATGAATGATAAAAGTATACAGTTTCCCCACAGTCTTTCCTGTTATTTTGAACAAAAAAGCTTTAAAATATGTAATGCATGTGCATTAAGTAAAACATGAGCACAGTGGTCAAAGATGTTCTGCACTAATCCGGATTCTCTATGCAAGCAAGCAAAAATTTATGAGAAAATGTCATAAAATACATGAGCAGGGTTCATACAGTGCATTAGCATGATGCAACACAGTATATGCAACACTGAAACGACCTGTTTTTAAGGGGTGTGTCCTTTATGGCTTGTCAGGAATCGGCCACTGTTATAATTGGCTAACGTCATTGCATGGGAAACAGTATCAACTCTTTTGCATGTGTTTTGACAACATAATCAAAATAAAACGGTCATTTCCAGACAAACCATTATTAAATAATTTACTTACGAATTGTGATGCAGCTGCAGTCAGATCTAGTACCGCTTCATCTTTCAACAAGGGTTTCTTTTGTGAACTTTTCATGACACTGTGCCTCGTTTACAAAACAAAATGCTCTGATCAAACCTCAGACATGATCCGGGATGCCATTAAAAATAAACTATCCACTTGTTCCTTATGCTGGGATCCTTCTGATGAACGAGCTGTTTAAACCAAACGCGTCAAAGCGAACGTTCTTTTACTCCATTTGTCCTATTGACAGACTCAAGCGCATGGACTGTGTCAGAAAGCGAACGAGCGTAGCGCACGCACGCACCGATGATTAGTGACGAACGCAGAAGCGCAACGGAGAGAGAACAAAACAAAATGCCAGTCACAAATTAGAAGTACAAAACGAGGATTTGTAAAGTGGGACACCACTACTATACCGTTACACGTCATCATACATCGTCTAGCTCCTACAATACACACACCTATACTGGTGTGCAATAGAGCCTTTAATTACTGTTCTATATTAATGCGCTGCTTACTGACACACACACACCGGTAAAATCGCTGTTTTTTAAGTAAACTCACTCATTGTAGAGAGAGACGCACTGACGTGCTTACATGCAACTTTCATCTCTCTCTCTCTCTCTCTCTCTCTCAAATTGGCCATATTTGAGAAAAAAGGTTTAGCGATTTCTAATTATTGGGGGGATTAGTCACCCTCAATGTCTATGGTGGTTATCGCCCTGCTCAGACATTAAAGGGGTCATATGATGCTATTTTAAAGATCATTATTTTGTGTATTTGGTTTAACAGAATATGTTGACATGCTTTAATGTTCAAAAAACACATTATTTTTCAAATACTGTACATTATTGTAGTTCCTCTTCCTCTCTCAAACGCGTCATTTTCTACAAAGCCCCTCCTTCCGACAAGCACAGTCTGCTCTGATTGGCCAGCTGACCCAGTGCATTGTGATTGGCCGAACACCACAAGCACGCATCGGAAATGTAACGCCCGTTCCTGAAACCACGCCTTCTTTCTTTGCGTGCACATTTGGGTGGCATTACACAAATATTTCCACATTGTGACGTAGAGATGTGGGGGCGTGTTTGAATGAGGCATTTCAGCCCGGTCTGGATCAGCCTTCTCTTTTAGATAGAATAAATCCTTTTGTGGGAGACTTTGAGCTTTGTAACTCTGCAGATCTTATACATGCACAAATAGCTACATAACACATTTAAAGAAAAGGAAAAATAGAAATTGCATCATATGACCCCTTTAAAATATGTTGTGGCACTATAGTACAGTCAGTAATGGTGTAACATTAGCAAACTTTAGCGATTTTTGCAAACATTTCTTTGAATAACATGACCGACATACCCCTACGCCTCCAAACAAAAGAGAATCGAGACACCTCTCAAAGGGGAAGGGTTAAGGGGTAGAAATGGGATTGGGCCATAAGCACGTGGACTGTATCAGAAAGTGAACGTGCATCTGTATAATGTATCCAGTGTAGACAAGATAGCGGCAGTGATTGTAATTTCTATTTGCTTTTGACGCGACGCGACACTCTCATTCAGCGTAATCAAGTGTCAGCCATTAAGCGAGTGAACGCCAGTGGGCGGGGCATATGGTGAGACGATGACTATTCATCGATACCTTGCTCTGGAGGCAGTTTATGCAAATGTCTTTGCCCAGGTGACATCACCTTGCCCCTTGTTAATAATGAGGAGGATGGTTTAAGCTATGAAACTTGCAGGATGTTTCAAAGCAAATTTGATTTCTCATGTCATGACCCCTTTAAAATTATCACTGATAAAACAGCATCCACACTTGATCTAATGGCAACATTTTTCTCTTTTTTTGCACTGCTGTCACAAATGAAGTCGTGATGATTTCAGTGATGGAGGGACAATCAGTCACTTTATACCCTGATAATACTGAAGCACAGAAAGATGATCTGATTGTGTGGATGTTTGGAGATGAAAACAATCTCATTGCTCAAATGACTGGAAAGACCAGAGCAACATATGAAGGTACTGATGGGATATTCAGAGACAGACTGAAGCTGGACAAGAGGACTGGATCACTGACCATCAGGAACATGAGAACCGAACTATCTGGACTTTACAAACTACAGATGAGCAGCAGCAGCAAAGGAACCACAAACAAGAGATTCAAAGTTGTAATAAATTGTGAGTAGCTGTCTTTCAGTTTATTTTTTTAAATGCATCTTTGTGAGATAATTTAGTTTTTTTTGTTTTTACAAAACAAAATTTTAATAGTTTAGGTTGCATATGGTGTTTTATTGTAATTTGTCTGTTCCTCAATTTATTACATGTTAGGCCTATAGTGCACAAAATGATGAACTGATACAGTACAGGCAATTACAGACTCAATTAAACCATGTACACATAATGCACACCATAGAGAAAGAAAAAATGGATGCATATCTACTTCCTTTCACTATAGAAAATTTAAGCCAAAACCTGTCAGTATGGCCGCTGTCATCTTGCAAAAATTATGTCCTTTAGACCCAGAGTCTGCACAGTTGTAATTCATTTGGAGCCCGTCTGCGCAGTAGTGATCGTGAGATGGAGCCATGGTATCAAAGTCCTGCCCAAACTCCCGCAGAGCCAATCACAAGCTCACAATCATGCCACCACACCCTGTTTTTATAGCATCAAATAACTAACTAAAAGCAAACTTGTTAGAAAAATGAAAAATTTAACATACTGTGCATTAGCATTACAAGAACTACCTAAAAGGATGAAAACCATCTTTGGGAAAAAATCTTTTGAAGTTCTTGATTATTTAGATTGGCTCATGTCGTTCGTTTACATGGAGACGGCAGGGTTTATGATCTATACTGCAGCCAGCCACCAAATGGCTATCAAAATGTTATGCCCTCACTTTTCAGGTTGTGTGTGGCACACTTTATGCACACACATATAGATAAATGTTGTATTTGTTAAATTATATAGTTATTATGCATGTTATTTTTACAGTTTATTACCAACTTGCGAATACCAGTTCACACCCACATGCTCAATGAAGCTTTACTAACTCACATGTAAAAATCTAATTTCTCTGTTTCTATGTGCTGCTGTGACAAAGTGAATAACGTGTCAGTGAAGGAGGGAGAGTCTTTGATTCTGAAGACTAATTCTGAAATACGGAAAAAAGATAAGATACTGTGGCTGTTTGGAGATGAAAACACGCTCATAGCTGAAATCAAAGAAGGGAATGGAAAGATCTCTACATTTGACAGTGTTGATGGGAGATTTGGAGGCAGTCTGGGGCTGGACATTAATACTGGATCCCTGACCATTAGAAACATCACAACTGAACACACTGGAGTTTATACACAGAAGGTCATCAGCAAAAAAGGGACCACAATCAAGAGAATCAATGTTGCTGTGAGAGGTGAGTATCTCAAGTCTTTCAGTTGTTCTGCAGTTAATTCAGCTCAAACTGTTCAGGCTCCATTCAAATTTCTGATCAGTTCTGTCTTCAGAAATGGAAGGGTGTGTTCACAGTTGTAGTTTGGTTCTCTTGGTTCTTCTGATTCGAATAAAAAAAAAAGAAAATGGTGCATGATACTGATGATACAGATGGTTCACTTAGCATTCACACTGTCACCATACCTAAAAAAAAAAAAAA